GCAGGAAGGACAGTGAAACATCCTGACACTTAATGCTCTGTCTATGTTTGTGGCATGTGCCTTAGCTAACTACAGTAGCTTGCTATCACATAGTATAACCAGTAGAGCCAGATCTCGAGGGAAGCTGGGGTGCAGTTGATAACCAGAATGATAGGACAAGTTAGCTAAACATGTCAATGCATAGCTTTATAAAAGAAGCTGCATGGTGTCAAAAGGCTCACTGCACAGGAAAGGATAGTGTCAGGACCACAGTTTCCTGTTCTTCCTACTTTTGTCTTCTTAAAAGTTCAGCAACTTTTAAAATTGTCACCCTGGGTTCTTTGCCATGTCGGTAGACCATTGTACCACACAGCAACTTTTAGATAAGTTTTCAATTTTTTGTAAAAACTCCTCAACCTGTCAATTTGTTCCTTCATGCAAGAAAAATCAACAGAGCAGGATGATTTGCTTTCCTCTCGGATGTGGGCGTGGCCTAAATGCAGACCATCTATCTGCTTGTTAAGTGGCAACGTAACATTGTGTTTCCGGGTCCAAACTTCAGTTTGCTCTCCTTCTCTCCATATACCACAGTGTTGTTTTCCCCATTGTTTCAATAGATCTGAATCAGAGCCACAGGTCAGCTGTCATTTTACCTCTTTCCTTGCGATGGGAAGGAGAAAAAGAAAGGGCTACAGGTGATTAGATAACTCTCAGTATACTTAAATTAATAAAGCTTCTATAAAGGCGCTGTTTTGATGCCTTCTAATGTTAGCCAGCTAGTTAGCACGAAGTTAATGTAAATAACTGACATTTTACACCGATTAAAGTAACAGTAAAAGCTGGGAACTAAAACAGGTTAGGCTTATAACGTGATATATAGGCCTATATATTGGAATAAATTTCCTACAACATGAAATAAAGATCGCTTATTATGCCACCAGATGGAATAGCAACACTGACCATTAGAATCTTAAGAATGTAGTCTATTTTTTTTTTAAACTCTCAATGATGCCTTGCTAAAGGGGAAAAAAAAAAAAAGTCACGGTGTAGAGGGTAACAGGCTCCACCATTTGGGTCTGGGGGAGTTTGGATCCAGAAATGGAACGTTACATCACACTTAAGAGGATAGGCAGATTTTGCGGCCATACATTTGGATTAGATTGTACAGGTGTATCTAACAAAGCGGACACTATGTTATATACTACGTAATTACCTTGGCAGGTACGCTCCAATGGGGATGGCTGCGAGGTCAAATGGGCCGAAGCGTCGTCCTATTTCCTGGAAGGAAGCACAGTAGCCTGTATCCCCAGCGAAGAAGAATCTATGATTTGGACCCAAAATAGACCAGCTGCCCCACAGAGACTGAAAGAAGTTGAAAGATACATGTTTTATGTACTGAATATACTAAATAAATTAAACTGCCATTTTCTGCATAGTTAATGACTTAATTTGTTTGTGTTTTTGTGCAAAGATCTACTGGAAGTCACACACAGCTCTGCTACAAGTTCATTCAAAACCCTTATTATGAACTTGACTTTATGCAAATCTTGTAAAAACCTATGCTATTTTTCATCTGTCTAATAAACATTTATATACATGCATCCATCCATTACCTATAAAGTTTATCCTGAAGAGTTCCCAGTCAGCTGAAGCTGCACATCTTTGGACCAGGTCGGCCACAGTTTAAACCAAGAACCTTCTTGCTGTGAGGCTATAGCACTAACCATTGCACCACCATGCTGTCTTATAGCCAAATAAACACCATAAAGGTATCATTACACCACAGGGTGTGCTATCTGATTTTTAATTAGTAGTGGCTCTGATTAGTTATTACCTTGTTGGAGTCCATCGCTGTGCGTTGGCTCCAGTGCTGAGAGGGTGTGCAGACAAATGTGACATCATCATGACCCGGAACACAGTTCTCCTCCCACCAGTCCAGTTCCATCACATTCTCACAACCCATCTTCACCAGCCAGTCCATCAAACCCAGAGGCACAAACCTACAAAACATACACATGCATGGGTCTTAGTGTTAGCAAACATTTGATTTTTCTCAAATGCAGAAGTGGTTGGTTGATGCACTAAAGACAGTTGGTTGAGTGAATTACAAGTAGTAAATAAGGGAAAGGACGTCGATCACAACACAGCAAGCAGCCACCAACCCATTCGTCATACCTACCAGCGTAGCTCCCCTCCAAAGCGTGCATTAAGGCTGGCCACAGATCCAGCATCCAGGTGGTCATAATGAGAATGACTGATGACTATTGCATCTATCCTGGGCAGCTGTTGGCAGGAGAGGTATGAAGAAGTCAAACAAATGTATTTTGTTCATTGTTTTAATACAGGAAACAGCTGAATTAAGTGAATATTAAAGATAAGAAGCACTAAACCTGTTCCACAGTGCAGGGAGGCCCTCTGTATCTTTTGGGCCCCACCAACTGAAACGGCGAGGCCCTCTGGCTGAAGATTGGGTCTGTTAGAAGATTCAGCCCGTCCATTTCAACCAGAACTGTGGCATGACCCAACCAGGTGACTCTCATGCCTGGACCAGGGAGAGAGAGATCTGCGTTCTGGACAAAGTATGGCTCCATCACTGGGAGCTCATTGTCCAGGGCCTAAGGAGGAGGAGGAAAAACAGATGAGGAAAAGCAGGGACAGACAAAAGATGAGAGAAACTAAAGTGCAGTGAGTTATAAAACCACATTTTTTCAGTCTTCCCACTTTGATTAGACCTTCTTTCCCACCCTAATAACAAAGTCACTATCCCCAGCTTCTTTGCAAATGTTCTTTGCACTGCTCTGTTTGGAGAATTCACATGTTTTTGCTGCTCTTTGAGCTACTTACCTTTGTGTGACTTGAAAAGTCACTTATCTCTATGTAATTTACATCACTACATTATAACACACTGTATATTCATTTAACTTCCATCATCAAACGTCTAACCAATGACCTCTCCGGTTAGTCTTCTAGGTTTTATACAACAAAACAATGTGCAACCTGTGCAATTCAGGGATTAAACTGTTTTCTGTTGCTGTGTGAAAGCAGCCTTTGAGGTATGTTAAGCCCTCACTGAGCTCAGCAGGGTTTCCACTAGGAGACTTAATTGCTGTGTGGGTAGCGAGTCAACAAAGGACCATGTTTCTACATAGAAATCACCTACCTCTTTACTAGCTGGTACATTGCTGTGATTTTTATCCCAGAAGAGGAACCTGAGCGCCAATAAGTAGGAAGGGAACTGCCATGTGGGCCAGGGGTTAATAAAGCGGCCGTGGTTGTCCCGGCAGGACTTTGTCACGTCCTCCTACAATCGAAGTAAACAACTGCATTTAAGACACAACACCTGTAACTAACAAAATATAACACAGAGAGAATTAGAAGGATGCCATGTTAAGGGAAGGAGTTAATGGATGTTTTGAAAGTTGAAGAGGAGGTCTTTGAGGACAGGAGGGCGATGGTAAGTGGGGTTTTACCTCCAGCCGGTAGTCCAGGCGGAAGCTCTTGCGGGAAGAACTGCTCTTCCTTGGGGTCTGATGATCCACCTCTCCACCCTCAGCACCTCTCAGTGCTCCACTATCCTGGAGGAGAGGTATAAATACACACAGTGACAAAGTCAATTTGCAAGTAGCATTGGGTACAATAATCCCCAACACAAGCCCTGTTACTGTCACAACAGACTCATGATGGTCAGTGTATAAGAATTAAAGCAGCAGAATGAACGCATTAGTGTTCTTCTTACTTATCAAAACCTGGTGCCTACATTACCCACAAAGCAACTTCAGCTGTGTTGTGCTGGTAGTCACTAGCCTTGAGCCACTAGCCTCAAGCAAAGATGAGAAGCAGACTACATTTATCTGGTGAGCTCATTTCTTTCTAATTCCATATCCACAGATATTTTTCATTTTCAAACTTGTAGTCTGCAGCCCTGGTCGACAACAAGTGAGATCACTTGAGCAGTTTTATCAGATTTCACACAGCTTCCTGTGGTGAAACAAAACAGAACTTAAGGAAATTTCACATGTGTAGAGGTAGTAAACAAAATTAGATGTTTACATTTTCAGCCTTCCACTTTAAAACCGACTCATGAGTCAAGAAACTAAACAGTGACTGTAAATAGACCTTTTTTCACAGCCAACATTTTGACATGTCAAAGTAGGAAAATCACAGTTATCAATAACAACCACAACTGAGGAGTTTATTACCAGGAAATATGTCATGTACTGTCGACCTGTGCTGTTTACATTCTCAGCTTGCACATGCATAATTGCACATTGACTGCTGCACATGCTGCTCCCATGCAACATACATTCTCTTATTATATTCTGCAATTGCTGCTTAAAGTGCCTTAGATTTTGTCTAACTGATTTATCTACTTTATATTTCATTTGTATTTTGTGGCATTCATGTGGACGTCAAAGTAAGAATTTCATTGTACAGGGAAACACGTTTCCTAACTGTGTATATGACAAATAAACACTTTGACCATTGAACTGACAACTCTGCTGAGATTAGCATTGCCTGGTTTCACTGGAATGGCTCATTGGGGCCATTGTTATTAGGTACAACTGAGCTTTTATGAGCTGTTAAGTCAAAATGTCTGCTGTGAAAAGGTCTTTTCAGGTCTCAACAGTAAATTTGTGATTACATTTAGACAGCTAACAGCAGCAGCAACAGAGTAATAATTGACACGAGTGGCCCTTTATAACCAGATTCTACTAAATGATTTTGTAAACATATATTACCTTGTATGAAATTATTTTTCTGTTAAACAAGTGATAATTAGCCCTGCAATATCTTGGTACCATGTTACTCAGAGTTGGTGAGCAGGGTGCAATACCTCCACGAGGCCTTTTTTCTCCTCAATCAACCCTTTGTCTGAAGACGACGGCTTCTCCATGGGCACAACAGCACACCTAGCATGAACACAGATGCAGAAGTTGAAGTTTTACAACACAGTTATGAAGTCCTTCACCATCAGTAGAACCACCGTTTTCAACTGTTGACCCTCAAACTGCTCTTTGGGTTCAGCCAAGGGTCGCATGTCTTGCTTAAAGGTGCACCAGAAGCAGCAGATAAAGGGGACAGAGTTACACATTCACACTAATAACCAAGTCACAAGCTGGTTTGTTTAATGTTACTGCAGTAACAGAGCACGTTAACCGTGCAATGGTTAAACCAGGATAATTTGCACATGAGAGACACACAGCAAGATCATCTTTTCTGTATTCAAATCACACCACTATCACACGTGACACTGACAGGGCACTAAGTTCAATGACTAAACAGTTATCTCCTAATATCTTGTTGGCAGAAAAGGATGAAGCATGAGTTGCCGAGTGTAGTGTAATGCCTACTGTAGTAGATGCATAGATGACCAGCACTGTTTTACTCTTGTGTAATACTGATTAGGAGTCTCAGTCATGCATGCACAACACAAACATAAACAAGGTTTTCCATGTAATTAAAGAGGCTACATTATCTCTCAGTCTGATGGAGACAGTCTAAACATAGTTCTGTTTATCAGTTTCAAAAACAACAATAGTTATCAATGCACATTATTACATCAGTGCAGTCCAAGTGCAACAGCAGAAAGAGTTCTGGCTACTCCTCACTTGGAAAAGATTTACTTGAAAATGGTGGTGAATTATATAGCGTTGAGCCTTACCCTGAGCTACAGGCCTGCTTTACAGCTGAGCTGACTCAAGGTAAAAAAAAAAAAAGAAAAGGAAACCATTTCCTCAGCAACAGTTCTGGAGCCTCATTTATAAAACTGTGCACAGAATTCATACTAAAAGTTTATGTACACACAAATCACAGGAATAGTGTACGCTAAAAAGATATTCAGATTTATAACAGTGTACATGTCCTACACCTGTTTCCCTTTATAAATCACAATTAGCTTGAGAATGTGCGAAGTTTGGTGAGATGCATATTCTGCCCAAAACACTCCCACGGTGAGATGCATATTCTGCCCAAAACACATGATTAACCATATATAAACAAAGCAAAATGATCATGAGTATTTAAATACACGGCGTTCCTGTGGAGACAGGAGACAGCACTACAAACATAACAGAGGCTGATTGCTGCAGAAGCTGCTAATATAACAAATGAGATAGTTCCAAAATTAAGCAAAGTGGTCAGACATGCAGGATGTCTTAATTTAAAACAGAGGTGCTTATGGAATAATTAGCCTTACAAACACAATATAGCACAGCTGCACAACATATGATTATTGCTTTGATATGAAGTGAAATTAAAATCCCAAGAAGGATCAATATAAAATCTGGCTTCAGTTCACTGCTTCACCGTCTGAGTCACCAATTTTCCTCATAGCCAAAATGTGCATACACATGGTTTCAGAGTTTCTTTGGAGGGCCGCACATTCTCCTGTCATTTTTTTTTTATCCCAGTTTTCTTACAATGCAGCATATGCCTTCTTTTTTGTGTACATACTGTAGCTTTTATAAATGAGACCCCTGGACTGTGTGTATGTATGAAAATTTGCAAAATATGAGTGAATTTGAGGTTTTAGTTTAGGAGTAGGAGACCTATACTTACTAGGCACATAAACTGATGTTGGCACCTATACACTCCCAAGTCAACAAGCCTAATAGAGGCCTGTTTTATCCCACTATTATCCAGAGCAATCAAGTATAGTACACACCCTTACTAACTACTATCTACACATGAATGACTCCTTCATGCACTTCATGAGAAAATGTACTTGAAAACATCCATTCATTGCTATCCCATATTGATCTAGTAGCAGCAGGTCTACACTGATAAGCAGATGGATTCTCTGTTACGCTAAGAGAAATTTGACTACCAGGAGTGCACCCCAATGTATCAATGCAGTAATGCAACACAAGCCAACAGTGCATTGGACTTCTCTGAAGGACTACTAAGCATTAAAGTTATGGCCGGCTGATGATGCACTCGGCCTCATGAATGGACATTAACTGTACATTACACACAGCCACTGGGACAACAATAAAGCTCTGTGGAGCACAACCAAAAACAAAGATCTATGTAGCCAGTCAGCATGCATAATCTGGTCATGCACACAACAAACAGTCTGAAGTCAGACTTTAATTGTCACACAGGTTTATCTACAAGCCCATAGAGGAACACAGAACACCAATTTGCACTTGGTCACTTCTGAAAGAAAATCAGTTTCAAGTTTTCCAGCCCAGATTTCACGAAAACAAAGTCGAGCAGTATCACACACACAAGTCTGGACATTAAGTCTAATTAGTGGTAGTGGTCAGTACCCCAGTGGTACTGACTACCAAACAAAACACCACACTGTGCCAAGACATCTTTAACTATTTCCTGTTTAAAATGTGTGAACAGACCTTGACACAGATAGGAAATAAAGCAGAAACAATGTTATCAAGTAAACTCCTTACAGCACATGCTACATACAAGAAGGAAATGTAGCAGCCTAATGTTGTCGCACAACAAAAAGCCAGCCAAACAAAATGTGTCCCAAGGGGAAGATAAGAATGACTGTATAACACAGAGATTAAATGCTACAATAAAGCCACCATACATACACTATAGGGTACCACAAGCGTCCTTGCAAGTTACAAAAAACGCCTGCTGTTAGCATACTATTTTCTGCCAACTCACCTGAGCACTTGAACGTCACAAAACACCGGTTGTTCTCTTAGCCAGGCGACAGGTCTGTTGCATTTATATTAGTCATACACCTAGTTAACGCGAGCTAGTTAACATTATTTGTAGCTATACAATTCGCAGGTCATTTCCAATATAGTTTGTGTAACCACGACGCATAATTAAGTAGTATCAACTGGAAAATTAAAGACAACAATAGATAGGTTTGGAAAGATGTCTTCCGAGAGGCTGGCTTGTACTTCTGCAGCTGCACGGCGAGAGTCGTTAGTCGATACCAACGTCGTTTATCTGACGTCACAGCGTAAACCCTCTGATCACGTGACCACCCGAGAACTCACTATGCCTGCAGGCTCTTCTACGAATCAGACGGGGCCCTACTGCCGGATCACGGAAAAGTGATTAAAATACAGTCAAAAACATAAGAATTTTATTTAAATAAGTTTGTATTTCGCTGCTTAATGCAACCTCAACTACTAGTAATCCAATAAAATGCTATACATTAATGTAAAATGTGCCATTAGTTTAAATAGACTGTATTATAATATATTTTAACTTGTAACAACTCAACTCAACTTTATTTATATAGCGCTTTACCACAGCACAGCTGACCAAAGCACTTAACATATACAAATATAAAAAACATAAAAAGCTATAAACAATAATATAGACACTAACACTACAGACAGAGTCTCAGTCCTGGTCAAACGCCAATGAATACAAGTAGGTCTTCAAATAAAACTTAAAAGTAGACAGTGAGGGGGCCTACCTAATATAAAGCGGCAAGGCATTCCACAGTTTTGGACCTACCACAGCAAAGGCTCTATCCCCCCTAGTTTTCCGCCTGGCCCTCGGTGCCTCCAGAAGAAGCTGAT